TACTTTTTGGTCACATGTTGCTGTACAAATGAGACAATGGGTGATTACTGGAAAACATTTGACAGCAGAGTCATTGTACTGAATATTAGAGTAAAGAATTTCATGTCTCAGGTGGGATATGTGTTAAATGTGAAATGTTTTGCCCTCATGACACTTTTTAAAGGATGGAACGGCGAACTGAAAAAACTGTTTAAAAGAAGAAAAAAATGTCACAGTTTCTGAAAAACCCAGTACTGGCACTTTTAAAGCAGAATAAATGGATATAAAAAATATAAAAATTGAAGTTTCAAGTACAACACCCACTTATGGAATAATTTTCCAATCAATGATAAGCTTAGATTTATGACTTGACATTGTTAGTAATGTAGGTTCTAAATATCAGGGTTTAAGTATGTGTAAACTGTAATTGAAAATATCTGGACTTCACTGCTCTTTTGTGAGTTTCAAGGTAGAGCTAATGTTTACAGAGACATTCATTGAAGTATCAGGTGGACAAAATGTCACAATCACCATCCCTCCTCTTAAGGGCTCTCTGACCATTTTGTATTTTATTTCATTACATGCACCTGCCCCCTATTTAGTCTGCCAATATTTAAGCTTGGCTCTCTCGCTATTCCTGGCTCAGCATTGGGAGTAGCCCACCAACCAGCTGGTCCAGGAAAGACCTGACGGCATAGGCTTCATCATGTTGTCCTTACAATCTGAGTCCGGGGCTCGGAGATCCTGGCCTCGTTAACCTGGTTTTACTCCCTGTTCGTGTTCCAGATCCCGTTTCGGATTTTAACCTTGTTTGTTAAACAACACAGTTTCGGATTCTGGACTGCGCCTGGTTTTCCCCCTTGGACTGTTTGGACTTGTTTGCCTGCGTCATGCCCCCCGCCCACCGGATCACCGTCGTCACCTCCCCCCCCATCTGTCAACTCGTCCTGATCCTCTACGTCTTTTCCTGCATAGGGTCCTAAACTATGCTTCACGGGAGCCTGGCTGGCTTCTGTTACACAAAATATACAGTAGGTCTCAAGAAACAGATGTGATTGACATACAAAAACAGAATTAAAAAAAAAAGCCTTATGCCTAATCTGAGTTTTTGGGACAGTGTCTGGACACTCAAAGAGAGCCCAACCACATTATAGTGGTTTTGGAATAGTGAAAATCATTTTATTATTTTTTTTCCTGAATTCTAGACTCAATAATTGGTTTCAAACTACAATATGAGGAAAGCAAATTTAACTTTCAGAAATAGGGGGTGATGCTAAGAAGAAAATCCCAAAAGAAACTAGATGATTCTTTATCTTGAGCAATATGTCCTATGTTTTTTTTTCATTTTTTACAGAGAATGGATTCCTGTCCTTAAACAGGAATGCCCATGGCTGCTTAAGACAGAGTTTACTTCAAAATCCTTGTTCTTTTTTTTTTAAAGCAAGCTTTTCTAACCTCACTGATATCTTCTCTGAACACGCTGCATTAATTTTACCAGCATAGTCATTTTGGGGGGAATTATAAGGCTGTAGGAGTTTTAAGAACAATGCTTGACAGAATAATATGTCTAGACATTTTAAATGCTGAAAAAAGACCTTGGTTTACTGTTATAAATTTGTGAATGGCTATGCCTGTTGTATAAGCCATGAGACAGAGAAAACTATGCAGAACAGTCACATTGTCTCTCACATTTAGCAAAGGTGATTGAAAAATATCCTTGCATATAGCAGTGCAACTACATATCAGAACATTAGAATTTTCAGATAGTATCATGGCTGTTTTTCTAAACCTAGTAGTATCTTTTGACACCTGCATACATGTATCCTTCCTAGCATGTTGTTGATTCTGATTTCACACACTGCACATACATTTTTATTTCTTTGCATAATGACAGTGATCTGCTCAGTGTCATTTTATGCATTTAATGTATTGCTTATTAATCCTACTATTCACCTCCTAATAATAAAATAAATAAAATTAAATTGCATGACTTCCTGTTCCACAACTATATGCTGTAGGTAGCAGATTTTTATTCTACTTTCTAAATCACCTTGTGTTTTCTGTTTCATGATGTTGCCTGGAAATGTTTGGCTCTTTTTAAATAAATCTGCATTTTGTAAATATTATTAATATTTAGACATCTGATGTGTTTCATATCAGGTAATTTTATTTATGATTGAGTTCAAGTGTTTCTGAAACCTAATTATTTGATTATGCTTTTGTATATACAGTACATGCAAGCTATTTTCAAAAGGCAATTTGAAGCAAAAAGCATTTGAAGAAATGAAAATCATTTTAGCACAAAGAAAATGTCAGATATTACTTTTTTGCAGGTTTTTTTAGGTTCTTATAGGATTGTTTTCAAGACAATATCCATTGGATATTTGCTTGTGTTTTGGAACCATGTCGTTTTCTGTTTTATTACTATCTGCTCTTTGCCTTCGGCTTTTTTTCCATCAAACCCTAATGTGATACACACGTAGGAAGAACTGAATATTTAAAACATTATTGATCTTGTGGTTGAGTGATTTCAGATAATAATTAGATTTGTGTTATAAAAAAAAGTTTGATTTTTAAAATAGCTGATCACTCTGTCATTGTAGTATTCAAATATATCAATATTTTTACATAATATGTTTTAAGCAACAACAGAGTAATCATATCTGACACATTCTATGGGGTATTCCCAGGGATCAGTGTTTGGCAGCAATGTGCTACTGCTATAATCTATCAGGAAAGTAGGAAAGAACATTACTGTGGCTACAAAGCTTATTAACAAAGCTTCAGGCCATGCATTATTTAATGAGTGTTATTTTTAAGAGCCTGATTCAAAGCTAACATAAATTATGCAACTGTTGCAACATGCTTTTTGACTCTCAAAATATAATTTGTCCAATCTGTACATTGTGTTTAAACCATGACTATTATATAAGAACAATCAAGCGTATATAAAATGACCATGTTGTGTAGGGTAATTACTACATCTTTGTATGTAGCTACTTTATTGGTTTGTTTAAATCTGACCTAAAAGGAAATCACAAATGTAGCCCAGAAAAGATGGTTTTCATCCAGCTGATCATTTAATGTCAACACTAGGTCATTATGACATAGAAGCAAACTTT